TAAAAAGTGTAAACTATTGTGTATTCAATAAAGACTTGTCTTGGTTTTTTTCTTTTTTTAATAAATCTTGATATTGTGAATTGTTTGAAATAGTCTTACTTTTATTGAACTATACAGTTAAAATGGAATGATAATTGTTTTAAACTTTTTGTATGATAACTATGCTGCTACATTATCTCATAAATATAGTGAAGACTCTTCCAATCATCTAGATTTCAGTCCACTAACATGAACTGAAGCTATTGGAGGGTTTGAAGTTACACGCACTCATATTTATGGCTTTGGATTTTTAGATAGATCTAACTAGCTATTTCACTTTAATTAGTCCAATGTTGTAGCAGTAACATTTCACTCAGTTTGTGATCCATCATCTGTGCCTCTTCAACCTCAGATACAACAGCAAATGGAGATTAGCTTTCATGGATCAGATTATGCAATTGATGGGGTCTAGACAATTTCTACTAACACAATCTTTTAGACTTGAGAACGGCAATGCAAATTCTAGATCAAAAGATGCAGTAGCACAGTGAAATGTTTTTCAAGACTTGTATTATAGATTTTATGGATTTCAGTACTATATTTTATAGATTTTAATTTTATAATTTGGATTGTTTTTAGATTTTTTGTGGATATAAACTTAATTTTATGATGTGGATTAGATATTTTAATGAATAATAAACATCTAATAGACTTTTAAATAATTACACATGTTTTATTTTTAATTTAAATGTTTCTTAAATACTTATAGATACAATTAATCAAATTACCAATAAAATTTGGATTATACTGACAAAATTCTCGCTTTTAGTGACAAAAATCAGAAATTACCTACAAAGTATAGATGGAATGCCAATGGAATGCCGACGGAATACCAACAAATTTATCAATCGAAATTAATCTTTTTTTGATCGATTATTAACCAATTATTGAGGAATTAGCGACGGATTGCCAATAGATTTATAACACAATTATCGATGAAAAATTTATCGATGGAATATTTACTGATGAAAATTTTAATTTACCAACGAAAAGTTATTACCAACTTACTTACTATTGACAAAAATTTTTATCAATAAAAATTTTACAGACAAATGACAAAAATTAAGTTTTTATCAATGAAAAATTTCATCAATAAAATCTTTTTTTTTTCTTATAATGTTATAAATTTAATTAAAATTACATTATTCACTTTTGAATAAAATAGTTAAAGTTTTACTGTTTTAAACAGTAAAGAGAATATTTTAACTTAACGTCCACTAGAATTTTGCCATCAAAAGTTCCAAAAAAAAAAAAAAAAGCGGTGAAGAAAGTTAAAATCTGAATTAAGAGTAGTTGTCTATGAAATTAGAGTGTGCTTTTATTTTGAGGCCCTCAATTAAATTCGAGCATCTCCTTTTTTGCTCTTGTTCAAGAAACCCATCTGCAACAATATTAAATGGTCAAATTGCTTGTTACCTTGTTTAATGTGATATCGCGAAAGCTAATTGTAATTTGGTGCTGAAAAGTGAAATGACAAAGGGAATGGTTATGGTATTCCTAGTTTGCCATATCAACTCTATATATCCGTCCGCACAAAAAAAAAAAAAAATGTAGCCTTTTTCCTTTTGGAATTTCGACATGTACTTGTTTAGATCGGCCGAGGAATAAAGAGATCAGCTACTAATAAAGTATTAGGTCATAGGAGAACAGTGATGCCATGGACCTCTCTAGTTTTAGTTCAAAACTGAAAGGCCAGAGCCACAAAGCTGCGCGCGCAATGCCCAAAGCACGCCTTCCCGCAAAGTGTGCACATGCGGCTCTTCTTGACTTTGCAGCAATAATGACTGGCGGCACCGTAAATGCCTACTTTAAAATCAGCTACGCCCTGTACCTATTGTTACTGCAGACAACTAGACCAGATTATCCAAGCTCTATTTATGCTATTTAATGTATTAGAAGGGAGGGGTCGTCACTAAATCCAACTACACACCTTTATCCAAATGAAGATCAAAATTAGATGCATACGTAGCAGAAAATTTTTTATCTAGAAATGTTACATATTTAGTAAATTTTTTTTAATTAAAAATTTTTTAAGTGATAAATCGGCTACCATTATGTGGATTAATGATATCATTAAATTTAATTATATAATTAATTAATTAATTTTAAGATTAATTAAATGTCATTTGGTAATTGAAGATAAAATAATTAATTTGATCAATCAAAATTCATCCATGAGTTATTGTTCACCTTATCTCTTAATTAAATTAAAATAATTTTTAATTTAGAGATAAATCCAAATTTTGATCAATCAAATTTTAACCATGAGTATTGATTTTTATCTCTAATTAAATTACTTTGTTTAGAAATAAAATCAAAGAAGTTGAGTTTCTTTAAAACTCTCTTTCATCTAGCATGCTAGCATTATAAATAGAGTGTTCTCTAAGTTACAATATACAATCCATAGTTCTGAAGAGAAAAAGATTTTAAAAATCTGAAGTCTCCTTAAAGTGTCAAGAAGCAAGTTTTGAAGAATTGAAAAAAATTTGAAAAACTGAAAAAACAAAACATTTGGGTTTTAAGAATGGTCAAGAAATTGCTCTTCGATCTTGTTTCCTCTAAAAGAAGGAGATCAACTTTGTTTGTTTAAGATCAAGTCGATAAAATTGAGAGTGTAATCGAGTCAAGTCGAATTAGTACAATACAATACTTGAGCTCTAGTTCAACTTAAAAATTAAAGTTCAAAGCTCAGTTCAAGTTACATTGAATTTTATTTAGCAAGCTCAAGTTTGACTCTAGATAAAACTCAAGCCGAGGTCAAGTTTGCTTGATTAAGCTTGCTATCTAATTAAAATTTACAAATTTAATTAATATGCTTTATATTAAATCTTAATTAGTTGATCTAGAATTTGAACTAAAGCTTGAATTGAGATGTTTATCTATAAATAATGATATTTTTCAAAATAATATAGTAATAATATAAAAAAAAAGATTAAAAAAATTAGAAGTCTCGTAATATTTAGCCAATTAAATCTAAATAACCAAATCCAAAACGTTTTCAAAATAAAAAATAAAAAGTCTCAATCTAACTAATGAAGACAAAAATGGCTTTCACTAAGGCAACAGTTAAATTGTAAACAAAAAAGGCAACACTAAAGCAAGCACTATTGTTAGCATATATTATTCAAACACTTTTTCTTTTCTTGCAATAGTTAAATTAGAAATAAAAAATGCATAGTATCAAGCTTATAGCCAAAAGGCATAGCTAAAGGTTTAGCAAAATTACTCGCTTAGCCTTCAGATGTGGAGTAACAATCCATACTTGGAGTTGATGCATTGATTTTTCTATGTGAACTGATGTTGATAAAAGGTAAGGGTAGGCATTTGGATCCAAGAAAAAACTTATATAAAGTTTTATAGGTAAAATTCATGAAGTTCCTTATTAGAAATGAGTAAATAAAAATTAAAATAAAAAATCAAAACCGATATATTAAAAGATCTTATCACATAGATTAAGCATGCAAATTTTGAAAATATTTTAATAAATTTAATATATTTATTAAATAGACATTTTTAGTAAAAATATTGACAAAATTTTTACCGTTGAATAAGTATCAATTAAATTTGAATTATAACCAATATTTTTAATTTTTTTTACATATAATTAATTTTCACATCGAACTCTATCAATCTATTAGTTTGGATTTTTTATTACAATTTTTATTTACTCTTTTCTAATAAGAAACTTCATAAACTTCACCTATAAAATTTCATGTAAGTTTTATCCTTTGGATATAGTCTGTTTTGATAGGCATGTAGATACAACTTGTTCAGTTTGTAGATAGCTATGCTAATATGAGGCATGGGGGAAGAGTGCTAGAAAAAAAAGGGGTGGCTGTTGGGATGAGAAGGGGAAAGAGAAAATAAGGGCATCATTGAAAGGGAGAGAGAGGGAGAGGGAAAGCAATGAGAATATGAAAAGAGTTAAAGTATTTAGGTTATGTTGGTACACATGATTATGATACAATAAGATAATATGATATTATATTTAGAATTAGATTAAATAATATCATCCTATTTTATATTTATTGGTGTTGAAAGATTAGGATAACATAATTTATTTATTGGTCAAAATTATCCTTTCTCAAAGTTTATATAATTTAAATTATTGATATATTTTTTAAGAATATAATAAAATATATAAGTTTAATCCCATAAATTAAAAATAATCTTCTTTACTTTGAAAGGATTAAATCATCTTAAGAAAATGATAATATTCCTTATAATTCTATCACTTTCTTCATATACAAATCAAATATTATATAAGATAATTATTTTATTATCCTATCTATCATCTTATGTACCAAATATAACTTTATGGTTATATATATAAAGGTAATTTTATAAATCTTTAACTAAAATAATAAAAATATAGTTTAAATAAAAACAACTCGATTAGTCTCATGCGGCTCGCTTGATAAGTTAGTTGTTCAAACTCAAACTCAACTCAATAATAATCTACTCAAATTCAAATTTTATTCCAACAAGTTGAAGTAATTTGCAAGCACAAGTGTATCCTTTATACTTCTAATCAAGATTCTTGAAGCATTAAAACAAGTCAAAGAAACCTTTTAAGCATTCAAGAATAAATTTACCTGATTTTTTAAATGGATTTTTATAAAAATTATACTTTTTTTTAAATTCCCAAAAATATACTTTACAAATATGATAAATAAAATAGTTATTCATCTTCAATTTTTCTTATCTTATTTTCAATGTGAAATTTATTTGAACAGTATATATGATCGATGTATTCTAGAGAATCATGGGCGTGATCGCTTTTCAGTTACTTTTCACTTGAATGTAAAGGCTTGTAAAGATCCAAGAATAATTTCCCTACACCAACAAAGGCATCAAAATAGGACAATATTTGATGTTCTCATAGCGGATGCTTCCTTGTGCGATGGGTCCAACCCCAGGCCACTTCTGCAATACTCTTCTAATTTGGGAATGTTCAATCATATATGCCATCATCATTCTCTTGTCTAGAGTAAGTCAAAACTCCATTTCAGCCCACGACCGTACAGTTTTGAAGATTAAAGAAAATATGTAGTTTGATCATAAGAAAATATGACCACTGGAATAACAATATATATTAATTCCTTCCTTAGGTTGGAGCCTCAGGCTGCACTATTTACCCTTTCTAGCTAATGCTCAAGGAATCAAATAAGCTCACAAAAACCCAAAACCCTAATAGAGTAACAGACTACCATTGATCGATATGAGTTATATTTGAATGCGAAAGCTAGTGAGATAGTGAACATAAAAGCAGAGAAAGACCCAAATCAGTAGCAATATAGTATATATATCTATATCGTATGGTATATGCAGTACTACACCGCCTACTTGAAAGGATTGTTGTACTCCCCATTTGCTTCTGGGATTGGGTTCCAGTCCCACAACCGGTCCGAGAAGGCTGTTGGAAGTGAGCTGGGTAGCACGTTGATAGAAAGCTGATGTGATTGTGGGGGCAACGTAGAAAACTCGGACTGTTGTTGCTGTTGTTGTTGATGATGATGATGATCGGTACTATAGTATTGCTGCTGATTCATTGTAGCTTGTTGGTAGCTTACTAGCCTGTGGAGATCGTCGGAAACATTTGACGAAACAGAAGACGAGCCTACTGGAAAGAGAATTGTGCAATTGGGGACTAAAGAGCTGCCTTGCTTAGACTGATTTAAGAACATTCCTTCCTCTTCCATTCCAGATGGCAACCCAAGTGTTGTGCTTATAGGAGCCATTGGATGGTACACATTCTGCTTGGAAAGTCCGAGAGCTGTTGTAACATCAGAAGTATTACTACTGCCTCCATCAGTCTCACTTATCGTTCCAATCTCCATTTGGTTTGAATTTCCTCCAACTCCAAAAGCTTGAAACCTTTCCATGGCTTGTTGAGCTACATCCTGGGGATATCTCTTTCCTGACAGCTGTCCCCTCATTGAGGCCGTTGGAAGAAAACGGGGGAGTGAGGGGTGATCTTCCACTCCAGCTCTCTTGTACACCCGGCAAAGCGATGTTTCAGCCTGAAAAAAAAAAAAAATTAGAGTGCTGGTGAAGGAGGAAGCAATATTCATGAATATAGGGGCCTAAAATAAAAGTTTGGGGACATCAAGCATCGGTTGCAGTTATGAGAAGTAGCACTAGTATTCAATACATGTATGGTCCGTATGGGTCATTAATTTAAAGTTCATGCATATTCCTATCAGTTTTCAGATTGAAAAAGAAAAAGATTTAATAAAGAAATCAATTAAACAATAACAAGACTGGAAACTCAACTGTCAGTAATGTTGTTTGCGATATTATATTATCTTTATCTTTTTGTCATACCCCACACGGAGCATAATCTTGGAATTATTCATTTCCTGGACGGAATCATGGTGTGATTTTGGATCCAGCTGGTTATAAAGCTGAAACTTTGGAACTCACAAATGAAGTTGAAAAGCATTTTTAGGAGAATTAGAAAACTGTAGATTGAATTTTCTAGAAGAGAAATTAGGGTTTAGTGAAAGGAGAGATGTGTAAGTGTAAACAAATATCAAATATGGCGTGTGGAACTTGAGAATGAAGGAGCCCAAAAGGCTTTTCTATGGGGTACCTTTTGGTTGCGTTCAGTTTCGTGGTGAGGCAAGCGATACTCATTCATAACCCAACTGGTTCGGATGCCTTTAGGAGCTTTTCCGGAGTAGAAGACTAGGGTTTTCTTGAGGCCAATTGTTCGAGAGTTCTCTGACCGAATCATGCGGTCAGCTCCCGTTGCCTTCCAGTAGCCAGAAGTAGTAACACGATTTGGTCGATCCCCGTTTCTGTACTTTCGGTCTCTAGGCACGTAGAAGAACCATTCCTTCTCTCCAATTGCTGCCAAGGCTGATGCCAAAAAATTAAATATATTATTATAAATAAATGTATGATATTGATAGAGAATCGCAGACCTTCGAAGGATGATTAACGAAAAAAAAAAGGACTGAAATTAAGAGGCAAAAGATAGGAAAGAAGGGTAGGAAGTTTTACCAGGAAGCTCCCAAGGGTCATAGCTATATAGATCGAGAAAAGTTATGAGTTCAACATTGAAGCGTTTGCCCTCTACCTTACGGCGAAGGTAAAACTCTACAAGTTCTTCCTCCGTTGGGTGGAAACGAAAACCAGGCATGACCATGTCGTGTTCGTGGTCATCCTTGCTGCTGCTGCTGTTGTTGTTGTCGTTGACGTTATTGCTATTATCGTGGGGGCCGTTGCTCATGGTTGCTGCTGCTGCTATTGCCATAAACTAGCTAATTAAGCAACAAATAATAATTCAACTCCTCCCCACCTTATACTCTGAGAGCTTTGTACGAATCGAGTGGTGCAAGTGGTAGGCAAGACAAGAGGAAGGCTAAATTACAATTCCCAAAAGGTAACTTTTCTATTTCTTCAAATTAGATCAGGAGAGGAAGAAGAAGGAGAAAAAATTTTAAGAGGGGCTGTTAAAATGAAAGATCTACATAGCTTTCAGGCCCTACAAGGGAAGAAGTATGCGTAAAGGTGTTTAAGATGAGAAAATGACCTGTCAGAACGAGTACAGGGTGGCCATAGCCATTAGCGGTGCCCTTGGACCTTTCTTCCACCATAGAAATTCTATTTTCTTTTTTCCCTTATAAAATAAATAAATAAATTTTACCTTTCAATAGTTTATTTAATTAGCCGATTTCACACTGAAATTAATTATACAATACCTCTAACATTATTATTATTATTATTATTATTATTATTATTATTATTATTATTGATGTTGTTATTTTTATATGGTTTACCCATGTTATTATATTATATATAAATATATGTTGTGTTACTTTAGAATAAAATGCACCAATCATCAGTCATTTGTTTTTTTGTAATATTTTATTTTCATATGTGGCTTCTAAAATTCAATTTTGAAGTCAAGGTTTTTTTTTTTCTTAATTTTAAATGTTTCAAATTCAATTTTGAATTCAAGTATCAATTTAAATTTTAAGTATAAAGGCTTTTTTTTTATGTTCTAAGAGGATTGGATACACTTAAATTTCTGTAGTTTTCCTCATAAACTAGATAAATATATGTGTAGACACTTTATTTTGTTCAAATGTTTTTTTTTAGAATTGAAATCTGGTTAAAATGATGTGTAAAGATTTTTTAGATTTAATTCTAAAATTAATTGGCATAAAAAATGATAGGGAAAGATTTTTGGGATTTAATTCTAGAATTAAATCAAATGAAATCATAGATGTTAGCTCAAAGATTTGGAATAAATCAAGAGGGGGGTGAATTGGTTTTAATGAAGTTTTCAAAAATAATATTCAATAAGCACAAATTTTGTTAAACAATTAAAAAACAATAATTAAAAGTAAATAAGAGATAGGATAGAGAAAATAACATCACGATTTATAGAGGTTCGGTCCTTCCTTAGGCACCTACGTCCTCTCCCTTAGCTTTTCTTGCCAAGGAGTTCAATCCACTATAAGTGTTGAAGATTACAACCAAGCTTCTCTAAGCTTTACAACCTCAACACAATATACTCTTAAAGGTTATCCTCCCCCTTAAGCTTACAAACTCACAAAATAGAAAAATGAAGTGTTTTACAAACTCTAAGAACCTCACAAAGGTTGGGTGTTTGCTAAGTGAAGTATACAAAGGTATAGACAAAAGAATGATGAATGAACAACAAAAATAGTTTGGATACAATAAATACAAAAATATAGACTTTAAAGCTCTAAAAACTCTTGATTATGTAAGAGAATGAAAATATTGCTTCTTGACTCTTTCTCTCTTGATTCATCAATCTTCTTGGTGTGTTGGAGTGCCCAATTTATAGAGAAATTGAAGAGGTAGCCGTTGGAAGTGTTTGGGAGAAGAAAATAGCCGTTGGAAGCACCAAAAAGTAGACGTTGGAGTGTTTTCGCCCAGAACCGATCGATCCGTTCTATGAGAGGATCGATTGGTTCATGTTTTGAACTAATTTGCCTTTGAAAATCACGACCCGATTGATCCCTTCCATGAGGGGATCGATCCTATCAGTGGCTGGGTGGTTATCTCCTATTCTGCACTATACTCATTAATTTGATCATATCTTGAGTTATACAAATCCAAATCACAAACCGTTTGAATATTTAGAAACTAGACTTAAAGCCTTTCTATCCAAATAAATTCATCACCTAATTCACTGTGTACGAATTATAGTGAATTTTCAAAGTTACGCCTTGTGCAGTTTTTCTGACAACTATAAAGTGTCTAGTAAAAATTCAAAATCTTTTCTTAGAAAATTTGGATTTTGATTTTGTTTGATCCATTAGAAAGTAAACTCAAATAGCTTTCCAACCATATAAAATTCAAATATTAAGACTTTGTGAATTAATACAGAAAAATAAAAAAAGTTCAATATTGGAAAACTTTGTTCTTGTAAAATTGCTTTCTTAAGTTAATCTATTTCTTAAAACCAATATTATCAAAATTGTATTAAGTCCAAAATGAATAAATTCACTTTAAAAACAACAATTGGACTTTTATTTAAGCTCAAATAAATAATCTTTAAAGATAGATTTGGTTTGAGAAATATGACACCAAGAAAGGTTTGTTTAAACTTTGAAAATCATATTATTTATTTAGTACTAAAATATAAAACTTAAGAACATATACTAAATAAATCTTTTTCAAAATCTTGATCAAGTTTATTTAGCTTTACTGTTTTGTCATTTCAAAATAAGGATCAATTCAAAGCCAACAATCTCCCCCTTTTTGATATGACAAAACTTAAAGATAAATTTGCTTGATAAAAGACTTTCTTTGAAACATTTAAGATTTTGAAAAACATTTTGGAAAACTTCCCCTTAAACAATGCATGACAAAACTCCTCCTCAATTTTTGCATCTTAATCCAACACAACTCAGCAAACATATGTTAATCAAATATATCAAATAAGCATAATCAAACATATACATGTCAAGCACAAGCAAATTTGTCCATATGATATTTCTCTCCCTTTTTGTCATAGCAAAAAAGCATTAGCAAATTAATAAGCAAATAAACACAAAGAGGCATCATTAACAAATATATTCATAAAATATTTCTCTTCCTTTTTGTTTATGCTTTTTACACCAAATGTTTAAGCTCCTATATCTATTGCTATAAGCATACAAGAAGAAATATCTCTAAACTCTCTCCCCATTTTTGTCATTTCAAAATAAAGAAAGATCAATTCAAGGCATGGGACAAAATGCTTGATACCAATAATATCAAGAGTATTTTGAATGCATGTAATCAAGTATAATATACACAATGAACTTCGCATACATGTATTCAACCACAAAAATATAAGTGTATCCAATTTTAGCATTTTAGCACAAGTTATCATATTTACTACATGAAATTTATGAGTAAAGGATAATGAATGATATGCAATCTACTCATAAATCATGTTATCATAAGATGTGCTTAGAACTTAAAACATCAATAACAATTAAGCATAAATTCAAGCACATGTATACAAGCCCATACCAATTGTTAAGGATACTAATTGTTAAAGATATGTCATCAAGAAGCATACCAATTGTTATCACAAAACAAATCAAGTAAAATTATATTCTAATATTGCTCCTCATTTCAAAATAAGGATTAATCAATTTAAGGCACACACAATTTTGCATGAAAGGTATAAGCTATATCAAGGATAGGCACATAAACAAGTGTCTATGAAAGTTCAAAAAAAATCTTTAGTAATTTTGATAAACAACTATCATAGAGCATACATACTTTAAGCATATGAAAGATTCATTCAATATATGCATAAATAGTAATCTTTCATAAGCTATCCTATCCAAACAAGAACCCAAAAGCTCATATGTATATAATAAAACATGAATACTAATGAGCAATAAGGTTCAATTATCATCATGTCATAATAACGATTATTCAAGCACTTGCCAAACATGATGAAAACATAAGCTATAGCAAAGAAATAATAAAAGTATAATTATTCAAATATAATCCAAATTATTTCAATGCATAGCAATGTACTTAACTCAAACATATGCAAGTATTCAATCATATATTTCAATCAAAATCATACAAGCATATGCAAAATATATAAGCAATATACCAAAAAAAATGCAAGCATTTAGGCACAATTTGGTACATGCCATCTCAATGTCAATTAATGAACATGTATGTGAATTTCAAGTTTATAATTCATAATCTATGAGTCAAGGCAATTGAAAGATCAAGAAATCAATATATTTAACTCATATTCATGTTCAAAGATTCAAACAAATATTCATGCATTAAAAACTAGTAATCAAAATATTCAAGAACTAGGCATGAATATTAATGAAGGTGAATTAATCAATCTAAGCTTTAAAAAAAATATTAAGATAAATTTTATCAAGTAGCTTGGTGATTAATTTGTGCAATATGTTCATATCTTCAATCACAAAATCATATATTTGCACATATTAAAGCAAGCATGTATATGTATTCAAACTTATACATCATATCATAAAATTGATACATTTACCTCCATCCATATCAAGCTTTGTTGTTGTGCTCATTTGGCTTTGAATTGTCCAATCCACTTCATTTGAGCAAAACTAGGCTTGATTGATGAGGATAACATACTTTGCTTGCTATACTTGAAATTCCAAAAATGTAGGCTCATTCATGCTCATTTAAGTTCTCCTAGCATAGACTTGACAATTTTCTTGACAAAATATTTTCATTAGAAGCACCAAGAAAATCAATTGATAAAAATTATACAAATTGTTAGAAAACAATTTCATATTCTAAGTCATTATAGGCAAAGGAAAATTTATTCACTAAGAATAAGTTGCCAATTGTAAGGGAGATATATATACTTAAGCTAGAGGCCATATATCAAGTTAAGCATCAAATATCACAATATTGGCACTAAAGTTAAAGTTCTCATCAAATGTGTAAAACATGAGTCATTTCTAGATCATTTAGAAATATTGAACACAAAGAAGACATATTCAATATTCATATATATTTTTAAATAAATCACCAAAGAATATGCCAAAGCAAATTTTAGGCCATATAAAAACTAAAAACTCAAGGAAGACATATTTATCATCCAAAACATATTCAAGAAAATATTAGCACAAAAGCACAAATATGTCTACACAAATTATAGGCCATAATCAACAATGACTTAAGCTAAAAATTAGCATCATAACAAATTCATTTACTTCAGTCATGTTGCAACCATGTCAAGTCAAGAAAAATCACATTTATCCTATATACACACACTTGACAAGAACAAAAGATGAACTAACAACATACATCATTAAACACAATTAGTTCATCAATACTTAAATTCAAACCAAAAGATAAGTCAATTAAGCACAAGTTCTAAAACATTTCACAAAATTAATGAATCAATTTAGCACAAGAGCAAGTATATTTAAAAATATTTTAAAAATTAAGAGATAAAAAATTTAAGTATTTTCAAATCATAAGCATTAAGGTCAAGTTGCACCAATCATCATATGAGCACATACCTTGACCAAAAACATAGATGAACAAAGAATCAATTTATCTTATTTAAGCACATAAAGTTCATCAA